CATACACCCAGCAATCACCCTGAAGAAATAATAATAATTCAAAAAAAAAGAAAAAAAAAAAAAAAAAAAAAAAGAAAAAAAAGATAGTTTCCGTGCTTCTGAAGGGGAAATTGAAAATCTTACACAGAGCTGATGTTTTACTGCTGCAGAGGGAAAAGTGGGTTTTAGGTTTTCCCATCTATTCCCAACAGGGAAAACATTTGGGCCCAAAAGAATATCTTTCCAGGGCTAAATGTTGTCACTTAGAAAATGTGAATCTGCATTGCTGCAGAATGGATTACGGCGTCTTTTCTAGGCTGTTGCTGGTAGACTGAAGGTTTCATAGTAATTGAAGCTCTTCAAACCTAATTCTTGTTACCTGAGCTGTTACAGTAATTTTTTAGTGTCTTAAATACCCGTATCTCATCTGAATCTGTGAAACTTCTCTGTGTGAAAGGGCATGTGTTGATCCTAGAGCTGGTATCTGGACACGTGAATGTGGGCCTGGATTTCTAATGCAAGTAAGCCAAGTTTGAAGGGGATAGATGAGGGAGCCTCATCTATCAATGAACTCAATGTAGCTTATTCCTCAAAAGTAGTATTTTTATTCTAGCTAAATTAGCCAGGTTTACAAAAAAAAAGCCCCCTCTGATTTGATTTTCTTGCTACATAAACCATAGTTGTCGTTTCTTCAGACACACAACTGTATTGTAGAATGCTTAAACATTGTGGTTGCAGCTGTTTTTGCTAACAGGTGCACAAAGACAATTGGGGATCCGTGCAAAGCTCTGCATTAGTTAGCAGACAGTTCAGTCTTTCAGTCATTTTTCATCTGTTTGGAGATTTGCCAGTCCTTGCTCAGCTGAGAGTCCCAAGGCACCTCGCCAGGGCTCAGAGCACCACACCCCAACATTCATAAAATGCTGCAGGGGGTCTTTCTCTCTGTGGTTTGTAACTCAGTTTAAGCTGTGGATGCTGCAGCTTTGGTATTGACCATTAATTTAATTTACAGCTGAGTGCTGTGTGATAGGAGAGGAACCTGGAGGAAAGAGGGCTGCTTTTGTCATAAATGCAAAAAGTGGGAGAGGTCTCTTCCCCTTTTTCTTGCTTTTTTTACATTTGCTTGTGAAATATGCTTTTCCCGTGGAACTGTGACACTTGAATTGCCTTCTTCTGTTGCACAGTTGCTGTGTAATAAACACCTCTAGGAAGGAGTTAAAAACAACTAGTGAGACAAGCAAACACTAAAAAATAAATAAATAAAAGAAGGTGTGGCACATAATGATTTTTAGCAAGGGCTACTGTGTAGCATTTAGCTGGGAAACCTGAGCCTGCATGAACAATCTCACAGTGCTCGCCATTTAGTAGTTGGGTAATCTGTGAGCTACTGTAAGAATTTCATTTGTGGTTCAGTATGTTCTGATGGAAATACAGATGACAATAGCCTCTCAATCCTTAGAGTTTGTAATGTGAACAGTATCATAGCATAACTCCTAATGTTCAGAATTAATGAGTCAGTCCCTGCCAGACTCGGGAGAGTATCTGAAAAAAACCACTGGACTTTGATGAGTAAAATAGGGAAGACTTATTACTGGCTTCCTTATTTCCTTATTGCAGATTACTCTTGGAACATGCCTTCAGTGTTTGCTTCCTGAAAACAAGGGCTACAAACTACCTGGGGGTGGGGTGGGAAAAAGAATCCGAGTTCTTACACTGACTTCATGCAGTTTTCTAAAGCACCTTTGTATTGCAGCAGAGTGCTGAGAAATGTGTTACAGTCTATGCTCTGCCTCATCATCTCTGACAGTTTTGCTTCTTTTAGACTGTTTGCTCATGCTGGTGTACAAGGATAAATCTGAACGAGCAAAAGGGCACAAGGAGAGGAGCAGCATGACCTTAGAAGACATCTGTGGCTTGGAGCCTGGGCTCTCCTATGAGGGCCTGAATCACACACTCGCAATCATCTGTCTCTCTCAAGTTGTGATGCTGGGATTTGAGAACAAGGAAACAATGTACGCATGGGATGTACGAATACGCTACAGTTTGGGGGAAGGTAACCTCTGTCTTCTTGCACCTTCCCCCCACAATTCCCCCTGCCCTCATGGGGTAAAGACCCAAAGAAAAGCAAAACTGAAATGGAGATAAAAGACTACAGGAAAAGACTGTCACTCATCTGAGAGTGAAGAGACTGGTCTTCCCCTTAGATATTAAAGCAGGTGTCCCTTATGATAGGTTTTGACTACAGTACTGCCCAATACTGATGGATAACTATGAGACTTCTTAACTTAGGTTTTTGATTTTGGCACTGACAGTGTGTAGCTTTGAAACAAAGTGATCAGACTTGGTCCTACAGTTTACTCAGGGATTCTGGGAACATGAATTAAGAGATGCAGAGTTCTGAGTTGTACTTGGCTAGTTCAGGCCCATTTTTCTGAGCTGCCCGCTAGGTGTTGCATTGATAATGCTTATTGCTGCTAGTGTCCCATTTCAGAAAGAGACTTCTTGCAATAATGATTGTCATCAGACACATTCTCTCCAGCTAAGTTCACTTTTCTGCATCCTTTTATTTTATTTTCTTGGATAGCAGCTCTAAGATGTACAGTAGTGAACAAAGAGTGATGATGTTGGTAATCCATAGTATCTGTCTTATGTTTGTTTAGTCATAACTAGGGAAGGAGGGTAGGTGTGTGGGAGACACACATTAGCCATCTTTATCATTTGTTACATATGCTGTGCCATCTGTTGGGTTTGTGGCTCGTTCCTTTGCAGTACGTATGTTGAAAGATGGCCTGGGAATTTTTCAGTAAAAAAATGTAGAAGTATCAGAAGTGAGATGTGTGGATGTAGCTCTCAGAGCTATCAAATATGAAGTCTTGCATAACAGGAAAGGTTACGGGGGTTTCTGAACAATACCAGCACAAGTAGCTGGAGTCACTGGTACACTTTGATGATACAACTATATTGTCTTCCAGTTCTATTTCTTTTTTTTTTTTTTTTTTTAGATTTCAGATCTATATATAGCATAAATTTGTCCTAAAACCTCAAGGAGAATTTGAATTTGACAGGGTAGGTCTGGTTTTTATGATCTTGCACTGATGCAGTGCTGGGATGAACAAGGTAATCTCAATCTGGGTGTGAGGGTTATGGTTGTTATTGGAGGAAATGCAAAAGCAGTGAAGAGTTTTTTTCAAGGAAAACTGTGAATGAGGTAGGAATAGAGGCTATTGGATGATGACATGTGCAGCCATGGAGTAAAGATGAAGTGGGGGAGGAGAATGTGTGTGGAAATGGAGAAATGCAGAAGTAAAACAACAAGTATAATTGGTTGAAATGACAATAATCTGTAGAAAGTTAACTGCAAAAAAGCTTAGGGGAAGGAGACTAAACCAGAGCATAGAATTTTTTCCAGGATTTTATCTTTCAGTGAAGCTGCAGTTAGGAGAAAGAAGTCCAATTAAAGTGAGTCTAGTTTGAGTAGACAGAAATGAAAAAGAGAGGAGACTTATATGAAGAGAGGATGGTGACTAGTGTTTTTTCCTAAAGTGTAGTAAGAGTGCCTTTGTGTGCCTTGAAAGTAAGGTGGCTGGATGATAAAAATAGGCAAGGGACAGATGACCTCAGAGTCTGGGAAGCAAAAAAAAAAAAAAAGTGAAAGGAGTTGACACTGTTCTTGAATGAGGACCACAGAATGGAAGCATTCACACTGGAATTCCCGGTGTTTTCTCTCAGTTTTTAGCCAGATGAGGTGAATGTGATTCCTGGAATGTGCTTAAGCCCTCCCTCAACTCTTTCTGAGAATTTAGCATACTGCAGGTCAGTGAATAGCTGTGAAGAGGAAAAGATTAGCTGAAGAAAATGAGGAATTTAAGTAGTACCTTCTGTTCAAGGGTATATTCAGCTCTATGTCTTCAAGAATTTCTTTTTCTTTCATAGAATAGGAGAAGTTGATGGCTGGGGAGAATTTTGAAAAAAATCCAATTTGCCAAGAAAGCAGCATATGGAGAAAGCTTCATGTTCAGATATGCTTTTTCTTCTACTTTGGCTTTGTTCAGATTTGGATATGCTGTGTTTTGACAGTGGTCTAGAATTTGAGATGGAGCTCTTTGTTTTCAGCAGCTGCTGTAACTTGCAACTGATTGTGTGAAGAGTGGGCTCCATTCCTAATTTATGAAGCAGAAAGAACCCCGATGCTTCTGCTCCCGCAGTTTAATTGTCAGCAAAGTCCTGGGCAGAGTTAACTGAGCAGAGGGGTCCAAATGATATTGAAGATTCCTTACTGAGCGTTACTCATCACGATGGTTTTGCTATCTTTTTCATAGTTTATGTTTAAGCAGGTTGCATAACAACCGTGTGCCCAAAAGGGGACATCGTGTGACTATTGATTTGCTCCCTAGCAGCACTACTGGCAGAGCTGTAAGTAGAGCTGTGGTTAGTTAGATCTATCTCTGTCTCCTTGCACATTTCACTCGAATGACTTTGTGGCTAATTCTGCTGGAGCCTCAGGGAACTTACCAAATGCATGTCATAGATGAGGAGTTGACTTACAGCTCAGATCGTAACTAAGAATACAGCAAGTAGTTAGATGAGAAGCAAGACTCAGACCGAGATGAAATGTGTGATGCTTGGAGAGGCCTGGGCAAGAAGCAGGGAAGAGTAGTTGTAAGAACTGAGACTACCTGGAAGTTACCCTGTAGATTTTGTAGGCAAGGAGCTTTTTGTATGATCTTTAATACATAACCAAAAGCTAAATCTACGTGCTTCTTGATAAACACTCTACTAAAAAACTCTGCTGGGAAATGTAACAGTCTTGATGCCTCTCTCTGCTAAGACAAGTGGGGGTTTTTGGGTGGTGTTGTTTTTAAATTATAATTGTTTTTCTGTGTTATTTTTTCTTCTTTTGTTGTCTAATCACAATATGAAAGAAACTAGAGGACTAGTGGAGGTCGAAATTATTGTTTGAGAATTATATGCTTGCTTACTTAAATTGCTCCCTTTGAAACACTGAGATTTGAGCCCTTGCAGTGATCCCAATAACTTATTATTCAAAATGCAATGGCTCTGCAAGACAGAATGGGAGACCAGCCTAGAATGACTGCTACTTTAGGTAAGGACCCTTGCAATATAGGGGATACTGGAGTTGGAGTTTGAACCTGAAGTTTGTAAACTTCAATGAGCTAGGTGTTTCTTTTTTTTTTCTCCACTCCTTTGAAATTTAGGCTGTGAAATATGAAAAATTAACTGACATCTTAAAGTGTTTTATTACCTATGAATCATTTAATTTCCTAGCAATTTTAAATGTCTGGGCATCTACCATCACCAACTCCTGAAAGAATCGCAAAGGTGGAAAAATGTAATTTTCTCCATTTTACTGCTAGGGAAGAAATGAAGCAGTTTATTAAAGGTTGCAAATGAGTCAGTGATAGAGATCTGGTTAGAATTTGCCTACTTCTTTGAGCCTTGGGTTTTGGGCATCATGTTATTTGTGTGCATGCATGTAGGAAAGCAGTAACACAGTTTAGATGAGGAGACAGAAAGAAACCTGTGTAGTGATGCAAGGATGGAAGAGGTAAGTGAAGTGTGTGCTGGATAACTGACTAATCTGAGATAGAGAGTAGCCTGGAAGATTTAGTATTAATTAATGTAGCATTACAACTAATAATTTGTAGCCAAGATACAGTGGGTTTTTTCCAATTCTAAACAGGCATAATAGAGAGTAGGGAGCTTACAGTTACTTTCATGGGCCTGTCTGGGCTCCATGTAGAATCCTTATGTTAGAGTCTCCTGGTGTGGGCAGGGGTTGGTCCAAGAACCACAGCTGAATGGAAATGACCTATGTAACTTAAGTCATGGTACCTTAATTGTATATTGTACAGTAATTTTTTTTCTTCCTTATTTGATAGTTCATAGATTTCAAGTCTTTGTAGCACCTGGCACCAAACTAGAGAGCGGGCCTGCTACCCTGCATTTCTGCAATGACATTCTCGTCCTTGCAAAAGACCTCCCTCCCAGTGTCATGGGGCAGTGGAAGCTCTCAGATCTGCGCCGGTATGGAGCTGTCCCAAACGGATTCATCTTTGAAGGGGGTACCAGGTGCGGCTTCTGTAAGTACAAATGGAAACTGTCTTCTAAGAGTTGCTTGATACCTCTTGTAGAAATGAAAATGTAGTCTCATTCAAAGTGGAGGCTGCAGAACCAGCTGTGCTGCTTTGTCATACAGGCAGCCTCATATCAGAGGATCTGTTCTGAGTAGACTTCTGCAGGCTAAAACCCTGGTGTTCAGTGGGTATGCAGACTGCCAGTTTGAATGTGAAGTTGTTTGACTTGCATACTGAAATGTGAAAATAATGGTTTTCTTCAATTAACAAACTGAAAAATTAGAAGGTTTCAGAGGTGATCCAAATGCAAATATATTCTTCCCTGGGACTTTTTTACAGTTGTTCTGCCTGTTCCTTGGGACTTGTGTGCTGTTGCTCTGCATGTTAATTCTGGTTGCCATACTCCTATGGAGTGGGAAACCCAAGTTCCTGGCCCCCTTCAATATGCAGGGCTTCAAATCTTTATCTTCCTGAGGAACGGTTGGTGCCCTCATAAAAAACAGCCCAGTACAAGGCTTTGAAGTTGTCTCACTGTGTAACCAGGCATTGAAATGTCACTGAGATCAGAAGAGAAAAACTGACTGTGTGTCTGAAGCCTTGAGACTGGGAGCACAACTGCAAGGGAGAGACCCTAGATCCCTGCTCCTAAGCTTAAATGCTTAGTTCCCAAGATTAGCTATTACTTATATAAGAAAGCCCAGAAATAGTAGGATGTGTGTATATATATATATGTGTGTGTGTGTGTACACACACATATATATATATATGTATATGTAATCCTTCATGTATGTTCTTTAGAACAAGCTACAGAAGAAATGCCACAATTTAACTAAGTCTGATACAATTGCTATGCTCCAAGAATTTAAACTGGTTTGTGCTTACTGAGTATTGCTGTAACTTACCCCCACATTGCAGAAAGCCTAAATAGTTCAATCCATGGGGCAGGATGCCAGATCATAGAATCACAGAATGGTATGGGTTGGGAGGGACCTTAAAGATCATCCAGTTCCAACCCCACTGTTATGGGCAGGGGCACCTTTCACTAGACCAGGTGCATAAGGAACATGAAGTATGAAATGTGGATGAACGATACATTGTCAACAGCTGATGTGGCTGAACATGAGCCAGCAGTGTGCCCAGGTGGCCAAGAAGGCCAATGGTATCCTGGATTGTATCAGGAATAGTGAGGCCAGCAGGACTAGGGCAGTGATTGTGCCCCTGTACTCGGCACTGGTGAGGCCACACTTTGAGTGCTGTGTCCAGTTCTGGGGCCCTCACTACAAGAAGGACATTGAAGTGCTGGAGCAGGTCCAGAGAAGGACAATGGAGCTAGGGAAGGGTCTGGAGAGTAAGTCCCATAAGGAATGGCTGAGAGAGCTGGGTTTGTTTAGCCTGGAGAAAAGGAGGCTCAGGGGTGACCTCATCGCTCTCTACAACTCCCTGAAAGGAGGTTGTAGTCAGGTGGGGGTTGGCCTCTTCTCCCAGGCAACCAGCAACAGGGCAAGAGGATGCAGTCTTAAGCTGTGCTAGGGGAGATTTGGGTTGGAGATTAGGAGGAATTTCCTCATAGAAAGGGTTGTCAAGCATTGGAACAGACTGTGCAGGGAGGTGGTGGGGTAGGCATCTCTGGAGGTGTTTAAGACTGGAGGTGTTTAAGACTGGATGTGGCACTTAGTGCCATGGTCTAGTTGACATGTCCAGTCAAAGATTGGTCTTGATGATCTCAGATGTCTTTTCCAACCTAATTGATTCTGTAATTCTGTGAAATGTGAAACTAGTGGTCAGGTGGTGGAACCTGGATTACCTAGCTGGTTTCTTTTTCCCTCCCTTAAACTTAACTTAAACTTTCTGATAAGAAACATGAGGTCATCAATAGCTCTCCTGCGTCCCTGCTTTTTTTAAGTATGAATTTTCTTTTTTTGCTTTTAGTTGGCAGGTGATGTGAATTAGATGAGTGCTTTGGAAAGGGTCCCAATTTGTTGATCATTCATAAGAAATGTCTGTCTTGATAGCTCAGACCTTTCAGTTGCCACGAAAGGGTGTTTTTGCCTTTCTCCTGCAGGTACAAAATAACCTGTCACAGTTGGAAACTCTTTACAAGTTCAAGCTTATCTTGTTAAAGGAGCTGTTGCCCTTAACTGAGCACCTAAAGATATCTGCAAGCATAACAACATTTAAATATGTGTTTACTCTAAACAATTGAGTTAATATTGCCACTATAAGAAAATGCTTTTTGTAAATAGAACCTAAATAAAAATGTAACTCTGGTTATTTTTGACAGAAGGGTATTGGCAAAGAGAAAGACCATCTTTCTTCAGGTGTTTGACTCTCTTACCTCAATCTTCTGGAATTCTTGAAGAATAGGGAAGCAAGTAATGTTCAGGAAAAAATATGTTATTACGGAAGTTGTTTTATTTCCTAAACAAAAGCACTCTCCATTACCCTGTCATCGAAATGTCGCATAATATTATGCAGACTCTATTATTAATGTTACTTTCCTACAGGTTAAACCATATCTTTGCTCACATTCTTCCTGTGGAGCTCTGAATGCAGAGGATTAGTGAATTTAAGGTTTAAATACCACTGTAGTAAATACCTAAATAAAAGGAACCAGTGATCTTGTGGTTCGATTCCCTCTCCTCTCCATATTGAAACCCATGAAGCCCCAAACAGAAGCAGAGCTTACTTTTGGATATATCTGTGGTAAAACAGGTCTGAAAGGTCATGAATTGGTTTTAGTTTTCTGATTCTTGCTTCCTTACAAAATTTTTCATAAATATAAAATAATTAATTGTGTTCTGGAATTAGTTGCTCAGTACAGGTTTTGTTCAACAAAAAAGGCTTTGGTACTCGATCCAGGTGGAGAGAAACCATCTGAGATAATGCTGAGATTCCAAACATTAAATCAGGGTGCATTTTCAAGATGGTTAACACAGGCTTATTCATAAATAGGAAAAAGAGCATTTACATTTTGAACTTCTCTTACTTTTAGCATCACAACTGTACTGGTAGAGATTAGAAAATACTTTTTCTGCTTCCGAAAGCTGCAGATAAGTTATTCTCTGGGGCAAAATTTTGCTCTCTCTGTAGCTGAAGCTTAATCACACATACCATTTGCAAAAAAGTAGGCATCTTGGCCTGGGAGTCAATTGAGAGGTTTACATAGAGGAACAGGCTGGAAAAAAGGAGCCTCTCACTTTCCTAAGATGCTTGCTTAATTAGTGCGCACTGATAAAAATGACCAGTTGCCAAGAGAATCTTGACTTGGAGGTCAATGTGAAAAAATTCAAGTAGGGTAATAAAAGGGCATGTTAATACTGTGAGAATTTAATGTTCAAGTGCTTCAGGATTAGCTTCCAGAGCCTGGTTTAAAGCTGTGTCATGTTTTCTGACAGTGTCTCCTGGAAGAAAGGAACCTGTAGGACCCTTAGTGTCCTTTGGAAAAACAAATGCTGATGCTGCTAACTGCAAGATAAGCAGGAGTATTTCTGTGATTGTTTTGGTATTTTGATAAAATTAGGTACTTCCTTCCATCTTTCCTTCCATCTTTCCTTCCGTCTTTCCACTTCTGTGTTTATTTGAAAATTAAAAGTAGTAGGGGTGGTTAAACTGGGGCAAGATCTGGAATTTCTTGAAAAATTCTGAGTTGTGTAGATTAAAACTTCTGCTAATATGCAGATATTGCTCTGTGCTGTCTCCTTCTTAGGCGTACTGCAGAGAACAACCAATTTTATCTTATTTTCAGTAGTCATGCCCATATCTTAGTTGGCAATACTAGGAACACCCTTTGTCATTTTCCCCAGAGAGAAAAACAGCCTGAAATACCCCCTAAAGGGGGTTCTCAAGCCCAGAGTTGAGATGTACTGGTTGGACAATATGCTGATGGCCACGAAATGAACTGCCGTGGTTCATACCTGTCCTGTAACTAAAAGACTTCAGGCTCTGGCATTGTCTGGCAGCCGTTAGGAGTAGTAATTAATGGAAGGGACTGACTCTTCCTCCCTGCTTTCACACACAGTACAGAGGTTGAGGTAATTTTTGTCCATTGTGAGGGCTTGTTTGCAAATGGGTTTGCTGTTTTAGTATGATAAATTAAAATCAAACATTAGCAGGATTTAGTAGTATTTGGAAGTTTTATGAAATTGGCAACTTCTCTTGAATGTTTGAGGGACTGTACAATGCTTTACTGACTGACACAGAGGACTGGCTTAGTGTTTCAGCCTTGTGCAAGTGATTGCAGGCTGCTTTTCACCAAGTCTCTTACCCCATGGAGAGTGTGAGTGAGCCCTTCAGTCTGGTAAACAGCTGCGTGGTATTACAGGGATGCATACCACATATTCCTCAGCTTCCAAATGCCTGTGCACCAAATCTGATCCAGCACGTGACTGGGATGTGTAGTTTCTGGTAGTGAATTTGTCAGTTTTCTGAAGAAAGCAGAAAAGAAATGTAATTACTTGGTTTTATGTATGCTTTTGAAACATTACTTAGACCTTACCTACTTGTTCATCTCACTTGATGTTTTTAGCGAGGACCCTCAGACTTCTTCCATCACTTGCAATCTAGTTCTGTCTAGCAAAACAAGAAAGAGAATGTTTCCTGTGAGAGTTAATCAACAATTGAGGTGTTCATGTGAATAATAGAATCTACAAAGAAATATTTTATGTGTATATTGGATTCGCATCCACATGCGCATGGACATACTGTTATATGAAGGCAATCACATTTGGTTTTGGGATTTCCAAATGAGTGATACTTCTTTGCTGAAATAAGTATTTGAATTAAGCAGCCAGCTTGCATGAGCACATTTACTTTTTTAGTTTCCATTAAAGTCAAAGGCTTGTAGAGCCCATTAGGAGTTTAGGTAACTCTTGACAATAGTCATAAAAGAACAAAGTGGCCCAGGTATACTCTTTATGTACAGAAGTACTTGAGGTATCATTTTTTTCTTGAATGGCAACATGCATGTGTAGGATTCTGCTGAATTATCAAGCCACGTAGTGTATCCCTGTGCTTGACTTAGGAATGTCCTCTGCTATGTTCTGTCTGTATCCTGCTTGCTTATTGTGCATGGAATGTGAAGGTCATCCAGCAAAGCCTTGTGCTGCCCTGCTCCCTCAAGAAAGATGTGGCTTCTGGCATTGATGTGATTCATGGGGGAAGAGTCATACCATCCAGGATTAGGCAAACTGATTTCCACAGACTCCCTCTACTCTGTGCAGGGAGAAGTGAGCTCAAAGAAAAAGCTGAATTTCAAATCATTCCTGAATACATTGCAGCCAGTTTTGTTTTTTTTTACCCTAATACAGTGTTCTCTGACTTTGGCATCTCTTGGGGAGGGGAAATGGGGCAAGACTGCAAATGAGTCACCACCAAAAACCTTCATACTTGTCAAACTGTGTGATTAGTGTTGTAATCAATCTCCTAGATGGTCTCTGATCCTGAAGCCAGGGTGTGTATTTGTTTCTTTGGCTGAAGAATTTTTGATAAGCAAGATGTGAAGAGATGCAAATGTGGTGGAGTGACAAATCAAGTTACAAAGATGTTGCTAACAATGTTATCTTGAATAGATTTAAGCAGAACAGGCAGAGACTTAGATGTGACATAAATTGAGAATGACAGAAGAGTGTGGACCAGAATATGTTTTTCCAGTTTACTGCTTGCTGGTTATATCTAATTTACTAAAATAGTTAATGTGGTTTGTGGTCAACTCTCTATTATCCCTTTCGTTTGGATCCCATAGCCCTTCGTCCAGCTGTTAAAAGTGTGTTCGTTGTTTAAGTGAAATGTGAGTATCCTGTTGGATATGACGGGGCATGTGTGGATGCAGTAATTCTGGTCAAGACCAACCAGCTCTTCTGCTTTCAGTAAAATTGGAAAAAATATGTATGCAACTAAGAATTGGCTAGAGATAGGCAGAAGTCAAACACATATGTCCAGATTAGGGGCTCAAGTCCCTAGGAAAGTAATGTGCAAAACCCTACTGCAGGTCTAAGATCTGGTATTGTAGCTTTCTATATGCATGGGCCTGGGGAAGTGGCAGTGCTTCTTCAAGGTCTGTATGCTAATTTCATTTCTTTCTGTGTCTGGTATTGAATTATTATGTCCCTGAAATTTTGTCTGATATTTTAAGATAATATTTTTTTCCTGATGTGATTTATATTTGGACTGATAATTCTCAAATAAAATATCCTGTGGAACCCTTCTAGTCTTTTGTGTTGTTCACATAGTCATATATCATGGAGCTCATAACTTGTTTGTTTGTTTAGTGATTCTCATTCTAATCTTGCTTGGGGCTATTCTTAATGAATGGAAAGCAAATATCAGAATAGAGCAAAGGGTAAAGATCTGATGACAACCTGTGGAGTTGTATTACGTTCTGTTAATAATAGACACATAGGATTTAGTCTAGGAAAATTTATACTATAATCCAGCAATATAACTAAATCATAATTCACTGGCATATAAAAAACTCCTCTTGGTTAAAACTGGTTAAAAGTAGAATTAACTTAATTCATTTTGCTGGAGACACTCTAAGTATCTTTGACATTTGCCATAAGATTAGGCCTACAAAATTTTAGGGGTAAATAAGAGGCCCAGACAGCTGATAAGAATAAGTCTTCTATTTTGACATTGAGAGGGGATTGGAACTAAGTGATCTTCAAGATACTTTCCAACCCAAGCCATTTTATGATTGTGTGACATAACTCTAAGTGCCTGAATGTCAGAAAATGAACATAAATGATTAGGTAGCTCTTGAATTTTTATGTGTTTGTGTTATAGTGTATGTGCTGACCTGAATTTTTTATTCCTTTCCCCTGAAGAATGTCCCGTTGACTTGTTTTCATGGCTTGCACTTAACACTCTTTTGATTGCTACTTTATAAATAGTTCCAGCTAAATATATTTCTAATGTATCCAGGTGAAAACCACATATTTATGTCGTGCTTCCTTGCAGGGGCTGGTGTCTTTTTCCTCTCTTGCGCTGAAGGAGAGCAGATCAGCTTTCTGTTCGACTGCATCGTCCGTGGCATCTCCCCGACGAAAGGCCCCTTTGGTTTGCGTCCAGTCCTACCAGGTTAATATAGGAAGTATAAAGTAACCGAGCGGAGTAGGAACTTGCCGTGTCTCGCACTTGCTGCTGTGACTGTAAGAACAGCTTGCAGGCGCTGAGGGTGTGGAGAGTGCAAAGTGGTTTTCATTCTGAAATGTCACAGCACAGATTTATAAGCTGAATGTACCCAGTTTCCCCGTGCTGGTCCGGCTCATTCATATTTCTGGTGATATTGCTAACTTTAGCCCTCTCCTATTTAACAGTACTGAAAGATGGCAATTTGAATTGAAAGGGACACTAATCTTTAGTTTTAAACTTACACATTTAACCTGGATCCATGTCTGCATTGCTATTTTGATAGTTTAATGGAAAACTAACTTCTGGAGCATTTTGAGTTCATCCAAAACTCTAAGTCTTGTCAACCTTGGTAAACTTTGTCAGGCCTCCACATCACATTTCAGTTTTGCAGCTTGAGCTTTTTTCTGGTTAAATTCCCTTTCCCATTTCACGGAAGATGCTGCACGCACTGTAATGTTCAGAGAGGAAATTGAATGGCATCATAGTAAGCCCTATTGCCTTTTGATTTCAGCAGATGGAATACAATATTGAGTCAGAATTACTGTGTCAAACAAGACAAAAGTGTAGAAATGTGATTGCAGAAAAGTATCTGTGACTTGGCAGTGGAATACAGTGGGAATAGGCTGCAAGAATGGTGGGATTTTTGGAAAATACTTAGAGTTTCTGTTTATGTGTTAGGCAGTTAATAAGTGTTTGACAGGGTTTTATTGCTGTTGTAAGATTAAGATAATTGCAGGAAGGAAATGTGATGGAGAAGATTAGATCTGGATCTGAAGCTTGTGAAAATAAATTATGAAAAGTTAGTTAACACAAATGCAGTAAACACAAGGCTCAGTTCATGTCTTCTTTCTCATTGTTTTAAGACTGAAGTAAATTAAATAATCAAGGAGAGCAGTGGACAGAAAAATTCTTCTTGTATGATGGTATGTGTTTGCATTCAATTAAGTGTAGTGTTCAAAAAAAAGGAAACAGCAAAACCAACAGAAACACAAAAGTCAGTGTTGATACTTAAAGCTTTGTTATTGAATACATTTTTGTACGTCTAAAACTCTATTACATATAAAGATTTTGTCCAGAAAAATTAAGCCTACAAGCAACTATTCTGTTGTCCTTTTTAAATTTTTTTTTTAAATTTAAAATTTAGATGGCTCAGTCTTTGATGAATCATTTTTTAGAAGCATGTAGGAATGAATCTGCTTTCACATCTTTAGTTATCAATTCTGGTGTTTGTGGGTTGTTGTGCACAGTCACATACCACATTCCCTTTCCTCCTTCAAGAGTTCTGACCTCACCAAAGTGCATAAAGTGGATGTGGATCATCCTGGGGATGATTTGGTTTTTTATAAGAAAAGACCTCTTTTCTGGGGTCTTTTAATTTCTCTTCTGTGCTTAATGGACTTGCCACTGAAATGAGGTGAAGAGATACCTGGCCACTTGATTTCCTCTTGCTTCCCCAGAGGAAGTGTTTTGTAGGGAACTGTGCTCCTCTTCTTGCAGACTCCTCTGCCTTTTTCCAAGCTACCTTGACCCTTTAACTTTCGTTCCTGTTTACTTTACCCTTGTCTCTTTTAGTTTGTTGTCACTCCCTATGTACACATTCATAGAAAAAGTTATTTTTTATGTTCTCCTTCATTTATTTTGCCATGCAGAAGCTTGCACAGATCTAAGGCACATGCACATGTACAATACTAGTGATTCATCCATAAACTAGTTTTCCTATCAAGTGTGTTGTTACACAGAATATACGGTATTGCTTGAAAAGGTCAAGTCTACCAGCTGCATACTGTCTCTCTCAAGTATTGAAATTCACCCAACCTTTTGAAAGGATTAGCTAGTAATGGATTAATTATCTGTACACGTCACGTAATTAGATCAAGATTTCCAGATTAGGGATTCTACTAGGACAGACCTAGTCAATGTTATTCATATTTACTTCAGTGCAGAATGCTACTCACCCTCAACTGCACTCTATGTATGCAGTGTTCTGCTTTTGTGTAATTTAAAAGCTTTTAGAGAAAGCAACCTCCTCTTCACATTTGCTGTTTGAATTTGGCTTCTTGCTGCTGTCTGTACCTTTCCAACTTAAACATGAAGTATACTTGAAGCACTCTGGTATTTTCAGGCAAGGAAAACACACAAAGGGCAGATGCACAGAGAAGGACGTAATATGGTAAAAAAGTCGCACTGACAGTGTTGGACACCAATGCCCACAAGACAAGTATAATCTATAGATATTAAAGCAGTCAACATCTGAGTAGTCTGTCTTTGTAAAAAAGAGTAATGACTGAAGCCAGTTGCTTCGTATACAAGCAGCTCAACCATATGGTTAAAAAGAGTGCTGAAATATTTATGTTAGCATAAAATCAATAGGAAGTGGTAGAGACTGATTTGAAGAAGATGGAAAATGATCAGTTTTCTTACTTGCCATAGTGATTCTTTAAACAAATGTAAAATACCAGTATCCAAATGGAGTTTGTAAACTGCCTGTGCAAGGGATACTTGCTCAAGGGCAATATTCTCGTCTTCTTTTTGGGATTTTAGTTTTAAAAAATATACCTTATTTTCTTAGAAGCATGGTGTTCTTATCACACAGACATATGATTACTGTATGTAATTTTATTATGTCATCTATAAAATATGTGATGAAAATCAAGTGCAGTGGAACTCATAAACAAGACTGAACCTTGCAAAGTGTCACTATCTGGTCTAATCTCTCATTGCAGACCCTGCTTTGAGCAGCAGGTTATACTAGAGAACTACTGAGATCCCCTCCAAACTGAATTATTCTGTGATGTTTTGGAAATGGGTATCAAATTACTATTCTCATGGTAAAAAATAACTCAGTGTACATCCAAAATAGAATGGAAAAGGAAAAGAAGATTAGATGTTTTACACTTTATTACTGGTGGTACTTACTTTGGGAGTCCATTAATTCTTCAGAATTGTACCAGAATAGTCCTGTTGATAGCTCCATTCGCAGATTGGAGATTTTGGTTTATTAAAAGCTGCATGATGAGGTCTCATTAAAAAAACCTGAAGACATATGGCACTGAGTGGGAATGTGAAGATAGTGTAGGTAGTGTCGGTATAAGTATCTGTAAATGTTTTTAGGCAGTGTAACATTTTAAATAAAGGACTCAAATGAGTGATGTGATATCTTTGTATGGCTTGTTTTCCTCAGCTACTAGATGGAAGATACCTGCTATACAGTGGCTACTAGCATGGTCTCTTTTTTTTATTTCTTTTTTTTTTTTAGCTTGAAAGGATATTTAGAAAACAGACCAGAGAATTTTACATTCTATCTTGACGGAAGTCTAGATATTGACTTAGTAATGAGTCACTGACTGCATGGTTTGTAATCTATGCTGAATTTGCATGCATGTTATTTGAGAAATGTTTGTTTATCTAGGATGTGTTGAATTCCTTCTTTTCCCTAGCAAGATTCATGTTGAGTGCCAAACCTGAACACAGCAAAGGCCCAAAGATATCAGTGGGCAGATCAGTGCTCTCTAAATCTGACTATGTGACAGTCTAGCCCTGCAATCTGGAAGGACCCCAGGTGTAATGTGGATAGTCTTGATGCTGTCTTTTAATTTTGGAAGTTTTTTCAGACTGCTTTGGGACTGACTGACTACAGTGCTGCTTGCTGAGGTTCTATCTGATGCTCTTTCTTTTTGTTGAAGCTTGATATACCTTTGGCCATTGCAAGACAGCTCTGTGGCTGCCTTCTGCAGTATCTGTACCAAGTGGATCCTCCTCAAACTTTTAGGACATCTTTTCATTCCTCCAGACATCTTACAAGGTGTGGAGATGTTAGCAAGAAGGTGAGGGTCCAGGCCTGGTTTACAAATGTGCCTATAGTTACACAGGAAGAAAGAGAGGAGAGATTTTTAGCCTAACTTAGCTAATTTTGTTTAATGAAGTAATTAATGTTGCATTTTAAAGATGCATATAATCAATCAGGTAGCTGCTGACTTGACTGGATACAATACATTTTTTCCTGACAGGTGCTTATTGAACAACCCTGGAGCTTTGAATTACTGTGACACTTTATTCGTATGTTACCAAAGTACTTAGAATCTCCCACGATGAGCAGCTGATGTGGCTTTAATGAATACCCACCAACGTAATATAAAAATAAAATCTCCATCAGAGGCATTTTTAGTCCAGCTAAATTTGATGTAATCCTTCCCCTTTGCCCTAAAAGATCATTTAAGAAGATTTCAATGACTGCCTCATACAAAAGAATTTTTCCTCGTAGCAAGGGATCCATTTTTATTTGGAAAACGATAAAAAATTTTATTAATTGGAGGACCTGAGTGAATCTAAGGACCTAAATTTTACGGGAGTAAATCAGGTGACAGGATACATTTGTTAGGAACTTGGGAAACAAAGGTACTAATTGCTCTTAGAGTTGTTGGAGCTACTGTCGGACGCTGTGTGGGCAGAGGCTGAGTGAACTTCCTTGGACAGCTGTCCCAGTACTGGTCATGCTGCTTCTGTCCTCCCGAGTTCCTAATATGGTAAATTGCCATTCATTTATTTAGAGGTTGTGTATTGTACATGCACAAGGTATAGGATGATGCCAACAAATCCAGATTTGCTGTTGAAAAAACCTTTCTTTTTATAAGTTTTAAGCCATAATTCTACACTCATATGACAGGATGTCATAGGTTATACACTCCAGTAAGGACTGGTCCCTAAAAAGTGGCTACCAGTGACTTCAGTCCATAGTCTGATCTCGTAGCAAGAGTTCCTGATTAGAACTTGGAAGTCTGTAAGCAAAAATACTGGTAGAAGAATCTGCTGCTTCTGAGGAATAGTAGTATCTGTGTTTTCTATAGAAGTCTGGCTTATTAGCAGAGAAGATTAAAGGCAAAACAAAGACTTAGATAAGACAGATAGACAATTATTTTTAATATATACCCAAGACTTAGTGTCTATATGTTTGGCAGGTTTTGGAGCTATTTCTCCAGATATTTCCTAGTACTTGCTTAGAAAGGGTCTTCTACTCAATCTTCCACAAAACTGGGCAATGAGAGATTGCAGTACATACGTATGAACCAAATTTTATACGCACCTTTTATATGTAGGCAATCCTTAGGGGGAAGTTTAACCAAAAAATTATCAGTCCTGTTGGACATACAGTATGTCTTTGGGTTTCATGTTGTTGGGTGAAAGCTTTTGTGTTCTGTGGCTATGTAGCTCACAGGGAGTTGAGCTTGTGGAAGTAATTGAACATGTGAAGTGCAAACTTACTGACTTCAACTTCCCTCCTACCTCCTCATCTTATATTGGCCAATTTTTAAAAATTATATCTTAAAATTGTATCTTTTGCTGTCTGTAAGAGGGATACCAGTTACTAAAAAACTAATTGTTGTGTATGTGCCCTAGTAATGTTCCGAAAATCTGTACTTGTCAAACAATCATTCTCTGAGGAAAGTGAAGGGACCTTTCCTACTGGTAGTTCTTTGCTGTGGGAAGGGTTAGTGTCTGTTGCATCTTGGTTTGACTAGTTTGCTGATCTGTTATGCCAACTTCGTACTCAAAGTGCTCTTAGAACATCTGTGTTGAACCTTTTTTGGACATAAGGGCATTTAATAGATACAGCAGAGTAACCAGAGGACATTAAAAAGTAGTCTCAAGGAGCTGTTTGTAATACTGTATGCTACTGGACAGATCCCTGCATAGACCTGTCTGGGTTGCATCATAGGTGCTGATGGCCAAATATTGTGTTTTCCTTTGGCAGAGATCCATATGGAAGCACTGGGGGTTTTGTGTGAATAATCAGTTACACAGGTTTGAACTAGTCAATGCTCAATACGAGTTGTCTTGCAGTGTAAATAGGAATAGAGACCTAACAAATTAATCCCCATCAAACAGTCCTATTTTCTATTCTTATGTTTGGAAGGTGTCAAGCACTGTTTGAGCTGGGAGACACAGAGGTCACAGACTCTGTTTGTCATGGGTGTCCAATGTATGTTGTTACAGATGGACTCTGTGTGTCTTGCTTTTTCTGCTAATCTTATCCAGATTGCAGACTTTCCTCTACATGGGAAAGAAAGTTAGAAGTTCCAACATTGCCACTTCTGTTCCTGTGACACACTCGGATCTACCCAGGGCAGGTCAGAAAGTGAACACGGTGAGGGACGAGAGATGTGGCAGCTTCTTTCTCAGAGTAGTTAAAAATGTAGGAGCTCCCATGGAGCTTCAGCTCATCTGGCAGTGCTCCTTCCCCTGATTGTGAGTTTGCTTTGACTGCTGTGCTGAAAACATCAAACCCAAGTCTTTTAAAATTAAAAGACCTGAGATGACAATGAATCTTTTCTTTCATCCTTACAACTGTTTTTTGTTTACTAACTCAACCACAGCAATGTATAGCATTTTTCATCCTTTTTTTTTGACTCTTATTAAATGATTCAATGTTTTTGTGGTGTGCTAGCACTACTCAGTTGATCAGATGTACAAGAACAGCAGTTGTGAGTAAGTTAATCTATTTTATCTGTCATTAATTACTGTCCCTATGTATTAATAAGAACTACTGAAACTTCTGATGTTGAACAAGTTAGCAGACCATATCCTTTGCAACTGCTGAACACGGCACACTTGTCAGTGCTATTTGAAAGAATCCATAAGGTTTCTCTTGGGATAAAACCAGCATCTGGTTTTATTGTTGTGCCTGGCTGGAAACAAATGATTTGAAGGAAATTGGCCTGTTTTACTGATGAAACTTCTTCCACATTCTGTGTAACTTTTGATCTTTCTTTTTTTTGTTGGAATACAATGAGCCTACTTCAGTGAAATAATTTCAGCTAGAATGGCAAACTCACTAAAATGTATGGGGAAAATCCCTGACAGGACATTTTAGGAGTGGTTTATATTATTTTGACTTGTCTTTTATTAAATATGAAGACAGAGAGCCAAAAGGTTGCTTATTTTGTCTCTGACTTCTGATCTTAATGACCTTCTGAACATCAAACTTAAAAGTGAAGTCTTTATAAATAGATGATCTGGATTGGAAGGGTTCAGATTAATCGCTATGACTCTGACTTTATGATGTAGATTTTTTAAATTTGTAGAATGAAAAATTTGGTCTTTCTCAATGTTAAAATTCCCAGTGAGTTCAGTGAATTCAGGACACATTTTACAGGTCAGTTTAGCTTTCAAGTCCTCTAGACCTGGTGGATGCTAATTATTTCTGTAGCTATTGCCTTTGGTGCTGTGTTCTTCAGTGTTCTGTCCCCGGTGGTAACTATTACAGACATTGGGTATAATCTCTGAAAATCTTTGACACTTATAATTTTAATTTAGTGTTTAACACATCTCCAGGATGTGCTGAAGGCAGATTGCCCCATACATTTTTCCAATCAACATTTCAAACATAAGAATATCTGCCTTAAGAATGTCTTTTTTTCTTTCCTTTTTTT